AAAAAAAAAAAAAAAAAAAAAAAAAAAAAAAAAAAAAAAAAAAAAAAAAAAAAAACAAGAGTGAAAAATCGCCAAAGTCAGGACACTCAAAATTTTGCGGCCGCTCTCTCTCTCTCTCTCTCTCTCTCTCTCCCCAAAGTCAGGACACTCAAATTTAGCAACTGCTTGGTCTCTCTCTCTCTCTCTCTCTCTCTCTCTCTCTCTCTCTCTCTCTCTCTCTCTGTGTCTCTCTGTCTCTTGTCTGTCTCTGTCTCTGTCTGTCTGTCTCTCTCTCTCTCTCTCTCTCTGTCTGTCTGTCTCTCTCTCTCTCTCTCTCTGTTTCTGTCTCTGTCTGTCTGTCTGTCTCTCTCTCTCTCGCTCACACAGTACAGAAAAAGAAAGACTGGTGGAGAAGGCGATTGACAGGAAGGCTCCGTCTACATTGTGCTGGCTCTCTCGGACCATGTGGCTGAAATACTGATGGAATCAGATGCGTTTCAAGTCCTGACAGAATCAGATGATATTCACTAAGGTAGGGGCAATCCTGTAGCGAACCTGATTCAGCCTGTTAATTCTAATTCCTTCCTTCGTTCACCCTGGTTTTAGGCTTTTAGCTATGGATTTGAAATTTTGAATTCTTCACCCACTGATTAGGTGAGTTCTGTACAAACTGTTGAGAAACCATTGGTGGTGATCGGCGTAACCCGCTGCCTTCTGTATTTGGAAGAACCAAACCCATCGTACTTTCTCGTTTAGTTCAGCCAGAGAGAGGAAGACAGTAGTTGTTGAAACGCAAAAAACACACCCTTTCCTTCATCTATAGGGCATGCAAAGTTGATTAGGAGGCTGATTGGTTCCTGCCCATGATCAGGGTATGCTTCCATGGGAGCAAAAGTCAACTTATTATTATTATTTTTTTTTTATTTTTTTTCTTGAAACTGGACCTTATGGGCCTTGCTCCTTTTCCATTCTGGGGAGCATCAGCCCGGTTCCCATTCCACCGGCAAGTCAGAACAAGGATACAACGTAATTACATACCCACGCTGCATAAGAGACAGGTGTGAGAGAGAGAGAGAGAGAGAGAGAGAGAGAGAGAGACAGACAGACAGAGAGAGAGAGAGAGAGAGAGAGAGAGAGAGAGAGAGAGAGAGAGAGAGACAGAGAGAGAGACAGAGATTTGCCCATCCTTGTTGCTTTTAGAACTGACACATAACGTGAAAAGGGGATGCATGAGGTAGTGCAACTGAAGAAGTGCCATGGTTTTGAATGACATTGTGGTATGGATTTTGCTCCTCACTGGAGCTTGTCGTGTGCAGCTGTTGGCATGGAGGTGATGCAAACTGTGATTGAATCTGGGAATCCTCCAAGTGTGCCGCTGATCTTCCTCTTTAATGGAGGGGAAGAGATCTACTCTATGGTAAGGAAGGAGGCTGAGGCAAAACCTTCATTTACGGATTTCCCACCGTTGCCCGGTATCGCCAAATAAATAACATGAAGCAGTGGACGGCACCATGTGATGTGTTTCATGTGGTGTGTGTGGGGGGGAGGGGGGCTTGTGTGTAAAGTGATGAAACTGGGCATTGTATTACACTCGCTTCGGCATAGTGGACTGTTTTTTGCTGTCGTTGTATGTATGTCTAGGGTGGATGTGGTAGTGAAGTGCATACACAGCAAAAGAACTGCAAAAAAGAAACAAGAACCCTAACAAAAGCTGAGTAGAGCAAGAAAACATCAAACCGAAAGTACAACAGAGAGGTGGAGCATGGGAAAAACTTGAAACAGTACTAATCAATAGGAGCATGTGGTGGAAGGAGGAAGCAGAAGTGGAACACAGGAAACTTAACACCGTTTCGGCGGGTTAGGGAGAGGTCCTGTGGGGAGTCTGTCATGGCAAGCAGATACGAACTTCGAACAGCCGTAATACGTAGGAGAAGGATGTGGTGGAAGGAGGAAGGAGTGAGGAAAAGGGGAAGGCGGAGGGGAAAGTGGTGGAGAGGGACAAACATAGGTGGTGGTGTGGTAGTGGGATGAGAAAGAGGAGGGTCAGGAGAGGGAGGGGGTGGGTGGAAGAAGAAGAAGCTATGAACCAGCTTTCCACTCACAGAACGCCAATCGCATCTTGTGCCTAAGTACGTGTTGGAATATTCCAGCGCTCAGTGATTGCATGCAATGACTTATGACTGTGAGGGAAATAGTTAAGCAAAGGACTGAGAAGAGGGAGAATGAGATGATGACAAGCTAGAAGTCCCATCCTTGTCCTTTTTTGTTTTTTTTCCCCCCTTCATCAACTTTATTATAATAGCTGGAAACCAAGTCCAGCATCACTTCCAAAAAAGACACATTCCGCGCTTCCTTCGATTATGGTTGAAGGACCCGGACGTCTGTGGCCACTGAGTGCCTGACAAGTTTTCCTTGTCGCCTGTTGACAGGGTGCTCACGGGTTTATGCGGCAAAGTAAATGGAGAGATGACATTGGTGCCGTTATCAATCTGGAGGCAACAGGCAGCAGTGGACCAAGTAAGCCCCTTTTCTAGAGTGTTCTGGCTCAACCCTCAAAACATATTTAGTCAAAGTGGGGTTTTGACATTGTGACGTGTCCAGTCTGCTTAGCCCAGAATCGAATCCTTGGTCTAAAGAAAAGGAAAAACTCCGAGGCTCGTTTTCCCTATGCTGGAATTTGCCCGCCTGCGGCACCTGGTCTAAAGAAAAGCAAAGACACTTAAATTCTTGGAGTATAGCAAAGGAAAAACTCTTAAAACCACAAGTACACCTCCAAGGCTCATTTTCCCGATGCCGTATTCTTCCCACTCCTAGAATACCAATTACCTAACCATTATGGGGGCTGAACTCGGCAGCCATACGCATTTGATATGCATTTTTTTTTTTTTGTTCTTTTGAATCTTTTGTTCTTCTACAGTTTTAACATTTTTCCCTTATACAGCAGCATGTACCCTGCATGCATGAATTATCTTGAGTTTTTTTTTTTTTGTTGTTGAAGAAAGTGAGAATGAAAAATCGCCGGTCCTTCGGGACGTCCGTTAAAATTGGAATGATACAGAGAAGATTAGCATGGCCCCTGCGCAAGGATGACGCGCATAAATCGAGAAAGGGTCCAAATTAAAANAAAAAAAAAAAAAAAAAAAAAAAAAAAAAAAAAAAAAAAAAAAAAAAAAAAAAAACAAGAGTGAAAAATCGCCAAAGTCAGGACACTCAAAATTTTGCGGCCGCTCTCTCTCTCTCTCTCTCTCTCTCTCTCCCCAAAGTCAGGACACTCAAATTTAGCAACTGCTTGGTCTCTCTCTCTCTCTCTCTCTCTCTCTCTCTCTCTCTCTCTCTCTCTCTCTCTGTGTCTCTCTGTCTCTTGTCTGTCTCTGTCTCTGTCTGTCTGTCTCTCTCTCTCTCTCTCTCTCTGTCTGTCTGTCTCTCTCTCTCTCTCTCTCTGTTTCTGTCTCTGTCTGTCTGTCTGTCTCTCTCTCTCTCGCTCACACAGTACAGAAAAAGAAAGACTGGTGGAGAAGGCGATTGACAGGAAGGCTCCGTCTACATTGTGCTGGCTCTCTCGGACCATGTGGCTGAAATACTGATGGAATCAGATGCGTTTCAAGTCCTGACAGAATCAGATGATATTCACTAAGGTAGGGGCAATCCTGTAGCGAACCTGATTCAGCCTGTTAATTCTAATTCCTTCCTTCGTTCACCCTGGTTTTAGGCTTTTAGCTATGGATTTGAAATTTTGAATTCTTCACCCACTGATTAGGTGAGTTCTGTACAAACTGTTGAGAAACCATTGGTGGTGATCGGCGTAACCCGCTGCCTTCTGTATTTGGAAGAACCAAACCCATCGTACTTTCTCGTTTAGTTCAGCCAGAGAGAGGAAGACAGTAGTTGTTGAAACGCAAAAAACACACCCTTTCCTTCATCTATAGGGCATGCAAAGTTGATTAGGAGGCTGATTGGTTCCTGCCCATGATCAGGGTATGCTTCCATGGGAGCAAAAGTCAACTTATTATTATTATTTTTTTTTTATTTTTTTTCTTGAAACTGGACCTTATGGGCCTTGCTCCTTTTCCATTCTGGGGAGCATCAGCCCGGTTCCCATTCCACCGGCAAGTCAGAACAAGGATACAACGTAATTACATACCCACGCTTCCTTCCGTGCGGCCGAAGGACCCCTGACCAGCATTGATTGCTCCATCTATATGGAGGATTGACTGTCAGCATGCCTTGCTATACCCTTTCCTCTCAGGTCTGTTATAGAGACCTGCTGTACCAAGAAAGGATCTAGCTCCTTCAAAACCCCGATCCACCCCTCAGCAAAATCTGAACCCCCTTATGTTCTGGCGAGCCGCCTGCCCCCTGTGGACCTTTGCTATACTCCGTCCTAGCAGCCCCCATCTTCGGTCTGTATCCATTGACTCGGCCCTTATATTCTAAACCCTTTGTTGGCTCCTTATCAGCTGTTTAGACGCCTTGAACCCTAAACCCTCCCCCATTTGTCGTAGTGGTATCCCATCCTTCTGCTGCCTCTTTCATTCCATATGTTCCTTAGCATACCGGTCTTCTTTTCTTCTCCTTGTGTCCCCTTCTGTGTCCTGTACTGCTGTAGCTGGGTACTTTTACCCAATGCTCATGCCGAGAATCTTCTTCAGACCCTTGCACCTCACCAGATGTACCTGTTTTTGTTTGGCTCAAACGCATCGAGTTTTGTTCTGATGTAACATCTGTCCCCTACCCTTAGTCAGCAGTTGCAGCTCTTGAACTAATTTAGCAACGCCTGTGACTGACTCAGGTCCTAAAGTCGACTTCTAACTCGCTACTCTTATGGAGTCGGATATGCCTGGGCCTACAGGGTCTTTCCAGGCTCTTTTTTTTTTTTTTTTTTTAATTTGGACCATTTCTCGATTTATGCGTGTCATCCTTGCGCAGGGGCCATGCTAATCTTCTCTGTATCGTTCCAATTTTAACGTATGTCCCGAAGGACGGTCTTTCCAGGCTCTAAATCTACCAAGTTCCAAATCCCTAGGCGCTACAGAGCCGTCCAGGCCCCAGGGGTAGCTAACAACACCCCTACTTGTTGATACCAGGTCTTGAATCTGACTGGCATCGAACACGAGAAACAGCAAAAATAAGAACTACCGTCTTCACCCGAATAGAACACGCGGTCACTATAGCTGTATTTGGCACAATTTTCAGCCCACATATGGTGATAATACCCTGGCGTTCTATACGGGTGATGACGGTAGTACTTCACGCTCGGGCCAGGAGTCAGGCCTGAGTCCGACAGGTATACCTGGGAACAGCGTAGTGGGTAGTCTGGTCCCAGGGGCATGTCCAGGGAAAGTCGGTACCAAAGAAGGGTATGAACGGAAAGCTTCTGAGGGACAGGAATGCAAGTATGCTGGTATTCAAGACTGGACACAAAAATAAAAGTGTGATACCCAGCCAGAGCTCCAGGGATCGAGTCCTGGCCAGATCCGTCGAAGAGGGATTGCTTCGCTGTATGGCGGAGCTCACGTCATTGTGGTGGCTCTAGAGGCCTGACTGGTAGACTGAGGGATTCCGTGTCCTTGTGGTGACTCTAGAGGCCTGACTGGTACTGTGAGGTCCTCTTTGAGAGGACCATAACGCCCATCAGCATCAACTGCTCTGGTTCATTGGTAAAGGTATACCGCCAGTATGGCGCACCCTATTTCGTTGAACCTAAAACTTGTGGTGTGGTAGGCTCAAAATTCTGGCCTGCCGAGACTCGGAGAGTGCATCGACGTTTCGCATTTAGTTTGGCTCAAATGTGTTTCATCAACTTTCCTGGGCAAAAGCGTCTTTCTCTTATTTTTGATAATGTTTCTAATATCTTTGATAAAATTTTCCTGAATTTAGCAGAATCCGCCCTGCGTCCCTGTTTTGTCTTGGGATTTACTGAACAGGACTGAGAATTTCAAATCGCCGAAGTTGAGGTACTTCTCGGGTAAGAAATTAGGAGGAGGAAATTTTCACGCCTGCGCCACCGGTTAGCCCAACCCCGTAGCGCTAGCGCTCACGCGCTCGCGCCCACGCCGCCCTCGCTGCGCCTCGTTTCAAATTCGGAACGGAGGTACCATCGTCCCGACGCGTGCCCCTCGCCTGCGCGCCCCATCGCCAGCCAGTGCACCCGCCATCGCGCGGCCACGCGCAAAGGAGGAGCCCCCGAAGGGGCCATCACCCCAACGTACGCGCCACGCCCAGCCAGCACACCCGCCATCGCGCGACGGAGGAGCCCCCAAAGAGAAGAACGTCGGCCAGCCCACGTGCCCGAAGGAGGGGCTACAGGAGACCAAGCCTGAACTTCGACCACGGAGAGAGAGAGAGAGAGAGAGAGAGAGAGAGAGAGAGAGAGAGAGAGTACAGGTGACTAACCCGGAGATTCAGCCACAGAGAGAGAGAGAGAGAGTGAGAGAGACAGAGGCGAGAGAGACTACAGAAGAGTGATCCGGTGCTTCGACCACGTCTCCAAGCCAGCCACGCCCCCCACCACGAGAAAGGCGGTGGATCGCGACCCTGAATCTCGCATCTTCCGCCGCCATAGCCCCCGCCAGTACCCGCCAACACCAGAACTCAAGACTGCAGCCGAGGACGACAGCAGCCACGAACTAATACCGGTACACTCGGCCTGAGCCTGCCAAACCTGATCACCCCCTCCGCCAATCCCCCC